TCCGAAAACGTACAGTTCGGAATTAAAATTTCGGGCAGTACTGTCATTTTCATAATGTAAACTCTAAAACAACCTTTATATTAATAACCTCATTTTTACTCTTGTCGTATTTATGTCATTTTGACTTATTTACTTTCAAAAATAGTGATTTGTGGCATAATAACGGGTAGGCAGCAGATCTTCATAAATTTCCTAAGACAGACAAATTGTTTAATTACCAAATTTAACAACAAATAAAAATAAATTTAATTATCAAATGTCAGTCATGATGACAGTAAAAGGTAGTTTACAGTGAACTTTTTAAAMTGACAGAAAAATAGGTACTGCCCGAATTTTTAATTCCGCAACTGTACGTATGTCTGTTTTTAAACTAACTACAGGTGAAACGTCAAATAAAATGACAAATCGAAAACGGCAAAATGGGCTTGAATTAGTCGCCGACGTATAATAATAAGAAGGTAAATCATAAATTTAGTTATCTTTTTGATCATAGGATTTTACCTTTTCACTTTATATTTTATTTGACGTTTCACAGACATACGCACAGGACATACGTTTTCGGATACAAGGACAAATTATCTTGATCTCTCGATACTTCCTTAGTTTTTACTAATTTAAAAAGAAATCAATTGTAATTTTCTTTGGGCCACATCTTAGGTATCTAATTAAATTAAGTTTATATCTCTTTGAATAATGAACTTTACCAACTCGCTAGAACACCTTATACACAATTTTCAACTGGTTTTAAAATTCTACACTTTTTGGTTTTTGGGTAATGACGGCAGCGACATTTTTTTTAATGGAAACTCCTATTTTTTTAGCGAATTTGATAGATAATTGTCGAAATGGCAACACCAAAATATTATGTATTACATAAAGTTTAAAAAAAAAATATCCAAAAAGTGAAATAATATCAATAAAAAACAAAGATATAATTTTAAATCAAGTTAAAAATTTTGTATTTGTTAAAAAGAAAATTGATCTGTTCGATCATTTTTCCAAAACAAAATATTTTCAGTTTTAATAAATAAGATTATTAAATGTTGACGCTCACTGTATACCTACCCTCATCATTTAAAAAATTTTTAGATAGCCGCCCCCCAAAATTAATTCCTGGATCCGCCCCTGACGTGGATCCATTAATTAACGTTATTGTCACGATTGGTGGTAATACCATCCCAACATGTAATGTATTACGTGCTAGAGGCAAAAGAGCCGCGACAAAGAATAACAACAGACAATTATCGATCTGTTAAGTTAATAAGGTGTGATGACACCGTTTTTACCTACGACTCTCGAGAAAAATTTCTCTCCGTTCCTCAACCCAATCAAATTTTTCTTATTTATTTCGTGATGAGTTTTCTGTAGGGCTTAATAGAAAAATAAATGCGTGGCGCGCACCACCGTTTAAGGTCTGAAAGGCCAGAGGTAAATGTTTTTAAATTCCGGAATTATTGATTCAATCGCTAAAAATGCAAATTATTACATGGAGAGATGGACAGGGAATGACCGTGTCGCATGCCTCAACGAAACTCTAATTTCGAAAGTGTTTCGTGTCTTTAGAGGAATTAGCATGAGATTTTCAGGACTTTCAGGAAACCTAATTAGGAGTCCTCCAAGTCGGTCGCAGACTATTTGTAGCACACTTGCCTGTCAACACATGCAAAGCTCTGAAATTGAATAAATAAAATTGTTGTTGTAAAAATCGAGGCTGAATTACTACGAAGCTGTTTCAAGGAAGTTTAGCACCTTGGGACACGTGTCATTTGCAGACTCTGCATCGTTATAAACTTATGTCGTTAAACATACTCTAGTTGGGTTAAAAAGGGTCAACTCGAGTAACTAGAGCAAAATCATCATTTACAATCGAAGGGAAACAAGTGTGCATCATTAAAGACATCAAAAGAAAGGTTTGGGGGTTATTTGAGGGTCAAAGGACCGATTTATGGTCTAGTGGAGATTCACTTTTTACGTTCGTTTGAGAGGAAATCCTTGAACTTTGCCAATTGCTCAAATTATAAACAACACAAAACCAGATCTAGGATTCGGGGCCTCGAAAATACCAACTTGACGTTTTAATTGGCGAGATTAGTTGATAATAAGCGAGTCGTCTTATTAAAACAGCCATTCGAGTCGAAGAAAATAACGAGTAAAGTTTGTGATTAATTAAAGGGTCAATTTGGTCATTTAGGACCGTCGATTTCAAAACAAGTTGGTGCGAAATTTAATTACAAGGAGAATATTCAATTCACAAAATCAATTATTCAACATGTTAGCTGACAAAACATAATCCTAACGACTCGATGGAAATGTTCAATTTTTGCACACCCAATGGATTCAAAATTTAATCATTAAAATTACAAATCTCCTTGTATCCCGCTGCTAATTCAATAAGACGGCGCAAATGTAACTTTTAAAAATGGAGCACGAAACGCCAAATTGGGTTTCCGCTGACAAATCGATGAATTAATTGAAAAACCAGTCGCATTCAAAAAAATAAAGGAACGAAAAAAAATTACTAAATCTTTTGGTGATTTTGAAAGGCTGTATCGCAGTGAAAAATAGTCGTAGTCTTGAAGCTTCAAGTTTATAGTTTTGAGAACTTTTGGCAAAAAAAATACTACAATTTGATAATTGATTGCGTGATCGCAATCCTAAGAAATAACGCGAGAAAAAAATTATGAAAAAAAAGTGAAATATTTTTTTCCAAAAAATCGTAAAAGGGTCTTATAGGGGATTTATTCCAGTTTTTGAAACTACCCTTACATTCTTTGTGCGATCGTTGATCAAAGACAAAAAATTCTTTTTGTTAAAGATCAGGTATCTCAGCGACAA